CACCCCAGATCTCTTTAGGATGCCACTCACCTTTGGCTCTCTCCAGGGGTGGTGGTTTAGCTCCTCACAGGTCACGAACCTCAGGATGAGGGGGGAAAAGGCAACACATCTTCCAACCCTCCAACTAAAGAAGCTGAAACAGATCAAAGAAATGCTTAAGCTCGGCTAGGCATGGTGGCTCACAGCTGTAATCCTAGCACTTTGGGAGGCCAAGGCGGGTGAATCACCTGAGGTCAGGAGTTCGAGATAGCCTGACCGACACGGAGAAACCTCGTCTCTACTAAAAACACAAAATTAGCGGGGCGTGGTGGCGCATGCCTGTAATCCCAGCTACTTGTAAGGCTGAGGCAGAAGAATCACTTGAACCTGGGAGGCGGAGATTGCAGTGAGCCCAGATCGCACCATTGCACTCCAGCCTGGGCAACAAGAGCAAAACTCCATCAAAAAATAAAGCTTAAGCCGCATTTCCTGGACCATCCCAAAGTCAGGGTACAAACCTGTGACCTGCCTCTGTTATCAGAGGCCCTCCCAGGAGACCTGGAGGTGGAGGGGAGGCAGGAGCCTGAGAGAGACACAGTCATCTGGCAGGCACTGTAAGGGGACAGTCTGATACAGTTTTGGAAGCCTCTGGAGTTCTGTCTTTGAACAGGGACGGAGTAGCATGGGGAAGGGGTATTTCTTCTGGCTAAAGAAGAGCTATCACTCCCAGGACTGTAACATCTGAGCCTGGTTGGGTGGTATTCCCAGACAAGCCAAAATGAATTCCAGTCTATAACTGAGACTCTGACCCATTCACTTGTTCATTCACTGTGCTGACATTTGCTGAGCACCTGCTTTGTGCCAGGCACTTTTCCAGGGGCTGGGGATATAGCAGTGAACATGACAGATGTAATCCCTGTCCTTGAGGAGTTCACATTTGGGGGTGAGAGTGAACAGACATGGCAAAAGGAATGAGCAAATTATATAGTGGTCATCAGTTCAGCTTGTGTTTCTGATCTGTCTTTCAAGGTGCTCTTTGTAGCATGTTGAAACTAAGGTTGAAAGAAAAACCCCAGAGGGGCACCATTCCCCACTTCCACGAGTGCCCATTCTCCAGGCTAGAACTTGTATTAGGTCGAGCCTTCCATCTTGACAGTCCAAAAGCTAATGTGTGTGTGAAACAGAACCTGACTGTGCTAACAAGTTCTAGTTGACGCCTCCAGGCCACCAGGATGCTCAACCCTTCCCCTTTCCCAGGGTTACCTCTAAGTTTGGAGGGGAGGTCTTACCAAGACACCAGAGTCAGGGGAAGAAGCATCCTTCTAGAACTCAATATCTGCCATCTGTCTGCACTGACACCCACAGAGAGATCCACTGTCCTTGGTTCTTGGTTGTGTGCATGGGTCCCCTTGGTTCAGTGGCCCTTTCTACTGTATCAGAGCCTTGGGGACACCTCTGGAATGGCTGTCTGGAGCCCTTGCTGTTCAGCCACACTATAAAATCATCACTGCCCACTGGGTTCTGGCTGCCTCTGTGTGATCCTTCTCAGCAAGGGAGAAAACTATTCCTTCTCTCCTCAGATCCCACAAGCGTCCCTACAATTAGTCCAGCCAAACAGGAATCTTCTTCCTCAAAGATTAGGAAAATCTATGCTCTCCTTCCTTGTCCTTCAGACACTGCCTCCTCTCCTCAGCTGGGGAAGGGGCTATGGCAGGAGGATGCATTGCTCTAATTTAGGTCATCTCCCAAATGTTTCATACATGGCAATAATGCATGACTTTCCGGAAAGGGTCTGGGCTTCTGGAATGGAAAGTGTCATGAGGAGACCATTTCCTCCATTCCCTCCCTGTTTTTCACTGTCCTGACTCTCCCCTGAGGTGACGAGCCTGGAATAGTTTCACTTTTTGGAAAGGCTTAGAGGAACAAAGTCTCCTAAGGAAATACATGATGAAGGAGGATGGAAAGAAGTAGCTGATACTTTTTTAAAAATTGCTTCACAGACAATACAATACAGCAGCAGAACTAGTGCAGGCTAGTAAGAGGGCAGACATGGAAGAAAAAGAGAAGAAAGCTGGCTCCACTGGGGTGTGTCTGCTTGTTGTGCTGCCGCAGGCTGTTTTGGGGATGAATGAAGTTGCTTGTTTTTCATTTAAGAGCCAGGGTTTGTCTAATGAAGACCCTGCTCCAGCCAAGTTATAGAGTTGGCTCAAGACAAGAACCAAGCTGTACTGTGTAAAGAGTACTATTTCAGATATGCGTATTCTTCCTTGAAAAGGTAGGAATGATATGGAGTGGGAGTGGGTATGTGGAAAGAAAATGGTTTCTGTGCCAAGGAAAAGCTATCTAGAGTCTAGTCACAATAAAAGGGAGACAGACATGGGTAGATCAGTTTCAAAGGGCCAGAATAAAGGAATACATTAAATAAAAATAACAATATCTGCACACAGGAATACAGAGAAACAACTCAACACTGTAAGAAAGCAAAGACTGAAAATAAACCTTTGAAAAGAAAGAGAAGGGAAAATACTTCAAGAAGAGAGAGAGAGAGAGAAAGACGGAGAGAAAGAGACAGAGACAGGCCCAGTAGGAAGAAGCAGTAAATAGAAAAAGCATAGTAAGTTACTGTTGGGTAAATAAAAGCATATATTCATATATGATATATTCCAGACATATATTCCTTAAATCAAGTTGTTGGTAAATCAGTACATTTGATAAATATTAATACTTCATTAATCATTTGGCAAATGGATGTTTTGAGAATCAATTAAAGTCACTTAGTGATACGACCCAGCATCCAAATTAGCCTCCGGACCCCAAGCCCTGACTTTTCATAGCATATTCCACTTCTTCCTGAAACAAATGAAAAAGGTAAAATAAAGTAGCCCAATAGGAAATTGAACAGGGCCTTCAAAGCAAGCTGAGAAAGATTCATTAGGTTCACAGAAACATCTCGTGAACAAAACCAGAAGCAGGAAAGGAAACAGCTGCAGAAGGATCTAATCAGGACTAACTGGTTCAAGGGATGTTTGTGGGGAAAGGACACATGAATTTCCTCAAACAACTGTAAGGAGGTATGTGTATGCTTGACAGGTTGAGGCAGGAGATTGGCTTGAGCCCAGGAGTTTGAGACCATCCTGGGCAACATGGCAAGAGCAAGACCCTATGTCTCTCTAAAAAAATTAAAAATTAGCCAGGCATGCACCTGCAAACCCAGCTATTTGGTAGGCTGAGGTGGGAGGTTCGCTTGAGCCCAAGAGGTTCACTTAGGCTGCGGTGAGCTAAGATTGCACCACTGCACTTGAGCCTAGGTGACAGAGTGAGACCCTGTCTCTAAAAAAGGAAAAAAGAAAAAATAAGTGTAAATACAAATGCATGCAAGCATTCTTCCTTGACATGAATAACTTCTAAAATATTTAAAGGGATTTTATTTACCAATATAAAAACTGTTTTGTTTTCAATGTGGTAAATAAACACACACATATACACAGAGAAATATTTTTCAGCCTTAAAAAAAAGGAAGGGCATTATACTCAGTTAAATAAGCCCGTTACAAAAAGAGAAATTCTGGCCAGGCATAGTGAGTCACTCCTGTAATCCCAGCACTTTGAGAGGCTGAGGCAAGTGGATCACCTGAGGTCAGGATTTTGAGACCAGCCTGAGCAACATGGTGAAAGCTCCTCTCTACTAAAAATACAAAACTTAGCCAGGCATGGTGGTGTGTGGCTGTAATCCCAGCTACTAGGAAGGCTGAGGCAGGAGAATCACTTGAACTGGGGAGGCAGAGCTTGCTGTGAGCCGACATCACACCAACCACTGAATGCCAGCCTGGGTGAAAGAACAAGACTCTGTTCCAGCTGTCCCCGACCCACCCAAAAAAAAAGGACAAACTCTGTATGATTCCGCTCATATAAGGCACCTAGAATATGCAAATTCATAGAGGCAGAAAGTAGAATAGAGGTTACCGGGTGCTAGAGGGGAGGGAGAAATAAATTATTGTTTAAGGAGTACCAACTTTCTTTTAAGACTATGAAAAAATTCTGGAAATGGATACTGGTTATGGCTGAACAACATTGTTAACATAATGCCACTGACTGTTTTAAATGATTAACATGGTAAACGTTATGTTATTGTATTTTACCACAATTTAAAAAAATGGAAGAGGGAGGCAGAGTTAGTGTCAAAGTGATGCAATGTGAGAAAGCTTCAGCCCTAGTTTCTGGCTTTGAATCTGGAGGAAGGAGCCATGAGCTAAAGAATGAAGATAGTTTCTGGAAGCTGCAAAAAGGCAGGGACAGATTCCCTACTGAAAGCCCCAGAAAGAAGCACAGCCCTGCTGACACCTTGACTTCAACCCAGTGAGACATATTTTGGACTTGTGACCTACAAAGCTAAAATAATAATAAGATAATAAAGTTATGTTGCCACCACTGAAAACAATTTTATTTTGCTTTGTTTTAAGCTAACTGACCTAATACAGCTGCCATATTTTGTGACACTTACCTAAGGAAGGAGAAGGCTTCTTCCCATCCCTGCACATTCCTGGCTAAGTCGGTCCTTTCTCAGGGCTCCTGGAAACCTCCCACTCAGAGAGGTGTAGGGCAAAAAATATCACAAGCTGGATGGCTCAGGTAGGGTGGCCCGATGTAGCAAATGAAAGTACAAGACCAAAACGAAACCCAACTGGAACACCGAGTTAAACGTGAATTGACCATGCAATATTTGGGACATACTTAACACTAAAAATTACTGCCCGTACATCTTCAATTTACCTTTAACTGGGCTCCTGTATTTTACCCGGCAACCCTACCCCCGGGTCATAGTGAGACAACACACGGGGTCTTTTGCAAGTTTAAAAGGGTAACGGGGAGACCTGGCATTTTTCCGATTTCCGAGCCCTCTTTAAACACTTATCCTCGTCCCCTCCCTGCAGGCCTTCAAGTTGCTCTGGCACATGGGCGAGCGCGGGAACACCTTGCGCAGGCGCACAGAGTTCCGTGGGGGATGCTCAGTAGGGTCTGGGACACTCGCTGGAGACCCTGCGCAGGCGCACAGCGGCCGGCGGGGCTACGGCGGTGCGGTCTCGCGCCACCTCCAACCCGAGGGCAGCACCTGTTGCCTCGGAGGAGCTGCCAGCGCCCTCCCTCCTCCTCCGCCGGGCGCGGGACCTCTATTTATATCGCTCAGCGGGTACAGGCCCATATTGGGCAGTGCCATCAGTCAGGCCGCCTGGCCACCCTATGACCCGGGAGCGTCCAGGCCAGGTCGTGGAGCCATCGCGGGGCCCCTGCGGAGCAAGTGGGGCTGCGCCCGGAACCAGGCGACACCTCCGTAAGTAGGGGCAGCGCCCCAGGGGTACGCGGCCGCAGTCACAAGCCCTGCCTCAGCTCCAGGCGAGCCACAGCACTTGCAGCCTCTGCTCTAAGTGACTTCCCTCCGGTCGCCTCCGGTGCCTGGCGTCAGGTCGGATTCAGCAGGAGCTTCCCTTCCAGGCCATCTCCGCCAGGCCAGTGGTCTCTGCTCTTCACCTTCATAGTCTTCATAGTATTATCATCCAACGAATTATCTGACCAATGTGTTATTGTGCCTTCCTCGCTAGACTGTAAGCACCACAAAGGTAGGGGCACTTCTCTGTTCTTGGTTGTCTTCCCGGAATCTAAGATAGTGCCTGGCACTTAGAATGGTTCGTTTAAATTCAATAAACGCTGAATGCATCCCTGAGCAACTCTCTTAACTTTAAAGCCGGGAGAATAATTGCCCCACATTTTCTCCAAATGATTCTTAAGAGGAACTAATGACCTGTAATGCGGATTAAAGCACTTTGAAAAGTGTAAAGCACTGTGAGAATGCAAAACTGTGAACTCCGCAAGAAAAAAAAAAAAAAAGAAAACTAGTCTTGTCTTTATCATCCATGTGCCTGGCTGTTACCGGATGCCTGGTGTGTGGGATGGATTATTATTAAGTGGATCAGGTCTTTTTTCATGTTAGTGAGAAGTACAGAGTACATTTAGGGTGGTGTGTGTGTTCTGAGCCATTTCCTACCAGCCTCGGCAAGTATAGGATTTGAGCAAGATGGTGTTGCTTAAACAAAATAGGGTGTGGAGACAGAATGGTATAAACTGGGTGTAACAAACTTAAATAGCTGTAGTATAATGTAACAGACAGGAAAGAGAAAAGCAACAGCGTAAGAATTACAAATAATGACTGTTACTCAGGTCTCAAAGGGCAAATGGGGCCCAGTAGATGTGCCAACTGGGATGTGGCAGCTGGCTACTCAGGTCCTGCACATTATTGCCGCATGGGAATTAAGGACTCAGTGTTGCCATAGCTTTTCATTTTTTTCAGTAGATGCTGGAATATTTTAGCTTAGCATGTTGACAGCTAATTTACAAAACGAAACAAACAAAAAAAAACAAACGAACAAAAAACTGAGCAGCCAATTTGTAATCTCAGGCGTAAGTGAAGCCAATACCTGGCTTCAGTTGTTCCTTAAGAATGGGGTCAAATCCCAGAGAGTAGATGATGACTGGGAATTAATTTTGAGGGTGCAAGTGAAAAGTGGGTATCATAATGCATCAAGCTAAAAGCAAGGGAGTCACTTCATGATTCTGAATGATTTCTTTGACTGGAACAAGAGGATAGCAACTTGAAGCATTAAGCACTGATGAGTAGGAGAAAACAGAACTGTTTTTCTGCTGCTCTCGCGCAACAATCAACACAGAAAACATCTGTGTCCTCTGCTAACCAAGAGGTATGTGGGAATTTCTCTCCATCAGCAACCAGTCACCTAGTTCTGCAGCAGACACCAGCTGAGTGTCCTTTAACTCAGTGCAATTCTGACACCGTCTACCTGGAGACAGTGTCAGATCCCACAGGTTGAGGGTTCAGTCCCACAGGGCTACCACATTCTTCAGACACTGGTCCCAGCATCCAGAACTTCTGACTGACCCATCACAAGTTGGGGTTCCGTCTTTGGGTTTAATTTGGTAGGGCAGCTCACAGAATTCGGGGGAACACTTAAGATTTCCAGTTTACTACAAAGGATATTAACAAGGATACAGATGAAGAAATATATAGGGTGAGATATGGGGGAAGCGGTACAGGCAGGTGCACCGCTCTTCAGGATCCCTCCACATGTTCAGCTGTCCTGGAAGCTCTCCAAACTCTGTCTTTCTGGTTTTTTATGAAGGCTTCATTACATAGGCATGCTTGATTGAACCATTAGTTGGTGATGAACTTAACTTACTTCCTCCTCCCTTCCTTCTCCCTGGAGGTCAGGGGATTGAGCTGAAAGTTCCAATTCTCTAATCCTGCCTTGTTCTTTCTGGTGACCAGATCTTATCCTGAAGCTCTAGTGGCTGCCAGCCCTCAGTGAACTCATTAGTGTACAGAAAGGCATTTATCACTTTGGAGATTCCAAGGATTTTAGGAGTTGTATGTTAGGAAAAGGTCAAACACCAAATACATATTTTATAGTATCACAATAAATTTTATATGTAGAAAAAATCTTGGATATAGTGTTTTATTAACATATATAAAAGCTAAAGAAAAAAAGGTTATCCTTAACTTGTAATTTAGGACTAAGCAAGGCATTAATTTAACTGAACAAACCATGTTGAGCAACTCCTGTGTCCAGGTGTCATCACAGACAAGAATACAGAAGTGGCCAGGCACAGTGGCTCAAGCATATAGTCCCAACACTTTGGGAGGCCAGGGCAGGAGGATTACTTGAGGCCAGGAGTTTGAGACCAATCTGAGTAACATGGTAAGACCCTGTCTCTACAAAAAAATAAAAATAAATTAGGTGTGGTGGTACATGTAGTGGTGCAGCTATGGGAGAGGCTAAGGTCCCAGCCTGGGCAACAGAGCAAGACCCTGTCTCTAACATAAGTAAGTAAAAATTTTAAAGAATACTGAAGTGATGAAGACAAGTCCCTTACCCGCAGTGTGCTCATCATTGAGAAGAGGCAAGCATCTGCAAAAGTGAATGGCAATAGCAGTGCCGCAACCACAATGTTCACAATACCAGCAAGGAAGCCAAGGGACATGTTAGTGAGGAAGTGATATCTGAGTTGAATTTTGAAGACCCAGTTGTATTTTTTCAGGTGGATGGGGGAGATATTTCCAACACAGACTTACATGTGTAAAGACAGAACAGCATGTTAAAGGCATTAGAGCTGTGAGTAGTTTGGTACAACTCAAAGATTGAAAAATATAAGGAAGGAAAGTCTGGAGATGAGGCAGGAAAAGTTGGTAGGTACCAGAATGCCTGAATGAGGGGTGGCATTGGTGAAAACAGGCCTAGGATATTTTTTTTTAATGTGGGGTAATAACTTTATACATAGTAGTGGCCAATGTATAAAAGAGTCCTACCCTTAAAAACAGTTTTGTTTTAAACATTGAAACTAGGACATCATTTTCTGACATCATAATGTCACTGTTTCTTGGTTTTCCAACCAATGTCTGTTGAAGGAAGTTTTAAACAGACTGGAATTTAGCCGTGTCCAAGTCATTTCTCCTGTCTTCAGTTTTTTGCCTCGCTAAAAATACAGGGTTTGATGTTGATCAACTCTATCATGATTATAAGCTACTCACCATACTGAACATTTTTATGGGAAAAAATACATGCCAGTTTAGGAATGCGGTAACTTCTTTTCCTGCTGAAGCAGGATTAGGAATTGATTTTGCCCTTGCCTCCTATACAGGCTGATACCAGGGGTATTAAGGCAGAGGGAGGGCTAGAACCACAAGTTTTCAAAGCAGTCCTCACCAGACTAGATAGGGAGGTCATAATCTTTTGTTTTTTCCAATCACTCATAAATTGGTCTACCTACACTCTGACACCTTAAAAAGAAAATTCATAATGTATCTATTATCTCTCTCTCATACACACACACACACACACACATATGTAAATCTGTGAATGGCAATAGCAGTGCAGCAACCACAATGTAGAGTTTCCTAGAAAAGAAGGCACAGTCATATATCACATGGTTTACAACATTTAGGTTTCTTAAAAGCTGTAAGTGACTCAAACGCAGTTTTTAAAAATTTTTAACTTATACAATATTTAAGATACACAAAGAGGCATTAAGAATAATAAAGTATGTCTTGAATACCCACCAAACAGCTGGAGAAATTAAATATTTATATAATTGAAACTCCTTGTCATCCTTCCCTCTTGCGTTTCTCTTTTTACACAACTCCTGAAGGGAACCACTATCTTGAATTTGGTGTTTGTAATTACCTTTTCTGTCTTTATATTCCACTACAGTTATACAGATCCTTAAAGAATTTATAATTCCAAACTTACAAAAAAATTCCAAGAATGGTACAAAAAGCTCCTGTGTGCCCTATACCAGATTCACCAAATACTCATACTTAGTCAGAATTGAACATCAGTATTTACTCTATTAGAATATAGAATATTGTTTTGCATATTAGAAACATATCAGTGGTATGTGGCATGTATTCTACAGTCTTTTCCATCCATTATTATGTTTGTGAGATACAGCCATTTGTACAAATGTAGATCTAGTTCATTCTTTTTTTACTGTACAATATTATCTAGTGAATATACTACAATATGACCTCTTATTAATGGATATTTAAGTTATTTCCAAATTTTTGCTATTTCAAACAGTGCTGCTATCAATTTAAACTAGTGAAACTTCAGCAAAACATGGAGAGTTTCTTAGAAAAGAAGGCACGGCCATATATCAACCATTATTTAGAGAAAGTAGCAACTTAAGCAGTAAAAATAATATAGTAAAGATAATGTAAACATTATAAGATTAAGTATTGTCAAACATCCATGGCTTAAAGAAATTGACATTTTTTGCACCACATGAACATTTACAGTGGTTCATTTCTCAAAATGAAATGTAGTAGACAGGAGTATAACTGCTTTTTGAACTTACAAAGTAATTAGAGTTTATTCTCATGATTTATATGCATCTTTGCTACTCTATTTTTCTGTATTATTGTGGGTACTATTATTATGAATGCACTAGTTCAGTCTTCTATAAATTGAAGCAGTGAGTAGCTTCCCATTTATATCACCGAGAACATTTATACAGTTTTGTTTTACTGATGAGAGGAGAATGTACTCTGCCTTCATTACAAGGGAAAGTTACTATCAGCTCTTTTCATTTAGGAGCTGTGTCTGTACCCACAGTGGTTTGTATATGTACCCCAATATTTTTATTATTTGAAGAGTGTACAGATATATCCTGCTTCAGCTTTACCAAGCAAGTTTTACCAGGAAAATTGCATATTGTATATGCATGGCCTTATCTAATTTTCCCAAATATTCTTATGAAATTCTCAAAACAAACTTCAGGTGAGAAAACTAGAACATAAAGATGCTACAGAACGTGTTCTTATTGCTAGATAGTAGAGCAAGGCTTCAAACCCATAGTAAGCTCAAAGGTTAGGAGCACAGATTTTGGCTTGGGTAACCTAACCTTTGAGCTTACTGTGCTATATCACTGGAAACTAACAATAATGTCCATTTATTGAGCAGTTAGATGCCAAGGACTAACTTAGCTACTTGATTTGTGTACATTATTCCCACTTTACAGATGAAGAAGCCAAGGTTTAGGCTAAACTGGGATCCAAATCAGGGCTTTTTCACTTTAAAGCCCCCATGTGCCATGCCAATGTCTTCTATGTACCTTGTATGTACAAGGAACAATACTGAGAATGTTTTTTGAGGTGTGGTGGCTAATATAACTGCCCAGGTATTTTTCTGGATTTTCATCAGTAAATTTATTTGGTCTATAAATCCCTAACGATTAGAGTAGCTTTCAGAACTTGTAATAAATACAATTGGAAGGAAGGAATACAACAAAAATATATAGGCCTATTTTTTAAATGTATAGTAAATGTTTCTTTAGAATGTTTAAAATAGTTATTTCTGTTTTAAAAGAAATGGTTTTTTGTTGTTGTCAAAGCCAATGTTTTTGAGACAGAGAAACTGCATCCAAGTAAATATTTATTCAAGAAATTGATTTATATTTGGGAATCTTGGGATATCCAAATGCTCTTTTTAAAACAGGACCATTACAGTTCTCTCTTTAAAACAGGACCATTTCACTTCTGAAAACTCTTCAGCTGGATTTAAGCAGAGAAGTAGAGAATAGTCACCCCAAAAGGATATTATCTTACTCATAATCTAGAAATGTATTAACTTTTGCCATCAATGTTATTCTCACTGCATACAGCTTATAGCCAAGTTAGAACTGGAGGTAGACACTTGAGATCCTCTTCTAACATTAAGGTTTCTGACTCTAGGAATGTCCTTTTCAAATCAAAACAGCTAATTAACTTCCTTGAAACATCCTGTTTCCATTTCTCCAGGGAAGATGAAGATGAGACAGCTAGCTTTAAAAAACTTACACTAGTGCTTTTTAAGGTGAAGAGAGATTCAGTCTCTGCCACTATGAAATGGGGAAAAAATAAAACCTGAGCAAGGAGGGAGGACAGAGAAATCGTATGGGTTTATGCATTTTCTAAGTTTAGGGTGATTTAGTTGTGTGTTTTAAATATTGTGACTTTTCACATCAGCTGACATTTGGCAGTGCCTTTCAAAACCCAGTAAATATGATCTTTGTGTTATCTACTGTTTTGAATTATTTGTCCCACATCAAAGTTTGAGCAGAATTTTAGTGGACTTTTTTTCAGTTTTTCTTCTTCCAAGGTATATAGTACAAGGCCCTAGTCATGCATTCACAGACTGACCATTATAACAGTTGGGTATATTTTTTGGAGGGGATGCATACAACCTTTTGGGAGATTTTGCATCTCCTCAGGGAGAATATTAACTGATGCCCCATACCCTCTGCCTGCAGGTCAGCTGTATTTGGTAACTGGAAATGGAATTGCAAAATGTGCCCAGTTTATCACTTCTCTTTCCATACATGTTGGGAGGGAAGTCTTTCCAGTCCTAGAAAAACTTCTGCTGCTGATAGGAGAATTTGTGATAGTAGTTAATTATTTACTGTTTACATAATCAAAAAAATATTTTTAGATACAGAAGTAGTTGTCTTAAACTGCTCTGCTTGGAGTGAATAATATTTGTTTATAAGTACTTTTTAAAACTAATGCTACATATCTGAATTATAGAGAACTTTTTCTTAGAAGAAAACTGCCTTTTTTCTTTCCTTAGAAATGTTTCCTGACATCTCTGTAGCTTCGTGAGTAATCAGACATGCAAATAGCCCCTCAGAAATCAAGCTAAACTTAAAGAAGACTTATTTGGAAACTTTGGAGAGTAGATCATGGAGTGCAAGATGGAGGGAAAAGAAAAATACCGACATAGCTTGAATTTACTGAATCAAATTAAGAACATGAAAGAATTAGCAGAAATGATTGATGTGGTACTCATAGCAGAAGAAGAGAAATTTCCTTGCCACAGACTGGTCCTGGCTGCATTTAGTCCTTATTTCAAAGCTATGTTCACCTGTGGACTACTTGAATGTAATCAAAGGGAAGTCATACTTTATGACATCACAGCAGAAAGTGTGGCAGTGTTATTAAATTACATGTACAATGCAGCTTTGGATATCAATAATGCCAATGTACAGACTGTAGCTATGGCTGCCTATTTTATGCAGATGGAAGAAGTCTTCAGTGTGTGTCAAAAATATATGATGGACCACATGGATGCTTCGAACTGTTTAGGTATCTATTATTTTGCAAAGCAGATTGGAGCTGAAGATTTATCTGATCAATCAAAGAAATATTTATATCAGCACTTTGCTGAGGTGAGCTTACATGAAGAAATACTAGAAATTGAAGTGCACCAATTTTTGACACTTATTAAATCAGATGATCTCAACATATCCAGAGAAGAGAGCATTCTGGACTTAGTTCTGAGATGGGTAAATCATAACAAAGAATTGCGTACAGAGCATCTTGTTGAGCTTTTGAAGCAAGTCAGATTGGAACTTGTAAATCCTTCTTTTTTAAGACAAGCCTTAAGAAGGAACACAATGCTTCTGTGTGATGCAGATTGCGTTGACATAATTCAAAATGCATTCAAAGCCATCAAGACACCCCAACAGCACTCTCTAAATCTGCGCTATGGCATGGAGACTACCAGTCTTCTGCTTTGCATTGGCAACAATTCTTCAGGAATCAGATCAAGACATAGGAGCTATGGGGATGCCAGTTTTTGTTATGATCCTATATCACGGAAAACCTATTTCATCTCATCTCCCAAGTATGGAGAGGGTTTAGGAACTGTGTGTACTGGTGTTGTCATGGAAGATAACACTATAATTGTGGCTGGAGAAGCAAGTGCCTCTAAACTCTCTAGACAAAAGAACAAGAATGTCGAAATTTATAGGTTTGTATCTAGCAGCAAATTTGCTTAATTATGTTGTTTTGATACTATCAACAGTAGAAGAGCTGCAAAAAGTCATCACGTCTTAAATTACTTGTAGTCAAAATTACCCTATGTCTCCCATAGTAATAGTATACAGAACATGTTTTTGTGTGCTTGTGTATACATTTGTATATATATAATCTATAACTCTAAATATAAATATAGCATAGATAAAATACATAAATATATATAAATATAAATGTAACATATATAGAACTTAATGAAATCACTCACATTTTTAAATTATTTTTTCTCTTCCTTTAATGAACATATAGTTGAATTTGCATAAGTTAAATGTGTGTGTTTTGATCCCATTTTAGTTTTCACTCTTAGCTTTATTTTCCATATATAGGGCCTAATATACTGCTTTGTTTTTTAAAATCTTGATATAACAAGAAGGAAAGTTTATTAACACTGACTCCTTTGAATTTCTTTTTTAGTTCAAAATTTGGAGTAATAAGTAATTTTTTTCTTAACCATAAGTTACTAATAATCTGTCAGTTTTCATTCTGTGTCCTTAATTTGTGGATCTTGCTTAAATCTCCAATATTGTAAAATGTTTGTAGTCTAAGAATGCTTTAATCCTGGAATTGCAGGGAGAGGAAAGAATGCCTGCTAGGAAGTAGCGTCTCATTTAGGTTTTGCTTTTAAGAACACATACATTTATTTACTGTTTATTCAGCCAATATTAAATGAGAATTTAGCACTTAAATCTAAGCCAGAAAATGAGAAATGTGCACATGGAATAAATACTAGATAGTAAAACTTGCCTTCAATATTTTTCTCCTCTCAGGTCTCTTTTACCAGGGTTTGTTTAGACTTTTCAGTCAGAAAGTAATTCTTAGCAGTGAAGATGGGGCCAAAGAGAGGATAAAGAGGTCTATTATTTTTCTGTCATCTCCTAGCATTACATTATCTGTCTCAAGCTACAGGCCTGTCCCTTTTCCACATTCATACTTTGAAGACCTGTCTAATTTTCCCTAGTAGTGATAGGAGAGGGAATGCGGAGCCCTGGCTGAGTGACCTAGACCTGTGCCCATGGTGGCCAAGCATGTCCCTGAGCCACAAGAACAGCTTCTTCAGCATTATCAGGGAGAGACCACTGAGTCAGCAGAGCAGACCCCCACAGGAAGAGGAAACCTTGGCTTCCTGACGTGGTTCTCACAGGTCCATGCCACCTGTTTTACACTTGCTGTTGGTTGGGTGCCCTTCTTTCCATCTTAGACCCTCTTGACCCAGTACCTCAGGTTATATACTTCTTTTTCTTCCTCCTCAAGATAGTCTACAATTCTGCCATCAGATTTTTTTCTTTTTTTTTATAAAGACGGGGTTTCACCATGTT